GTGTTCACATAATCTCCACTTTATGAGGCATTTACTATGGGACAAAATTGTGAAGTCTAATGGGCCAAAAGATAATACCTTGCGAGTTGGTGTGGATCATGACAAGTGGGTCTATAAAAAATTTAGTTATTTAAATGAATTTTATTGACCTAAATAATAGAAAAAAGGTGAATCCCCAAAATCACCCTCAATAAATTATTAAAGGAGTCCTCATATTATTATCAACCAACAACCTCTGAGAGAGAGAACTGAGAGTTTTTCCCATGTAGGCATGGAGGAGGAGGAACAGCAAGGGATCCTTAGAGGTTTGGGTTTTAGGGCATAAGGATACATGGTCAATTAGGGTTGTCATGGTGGAGAAAATCTTTGTATACAGACTTTATGGATAATCTTGCAAAAAGGGTTTCTTAGGCTAAGATTGAGGTTATTTTTGACAAATTTGGTATTATTATTGATGTTTTTGTGCTATTGCGATCTTCACGAAGGAGATTCAATTTTGCATTTGTTAGCCCATTCAATCAATATTCAAATTCAAAACCAGAAAATGATAGAATTGAGAAAAGTCCTGAAGAGGCCAAATGCAAAGTTAAAGTTAATCGGTCTGCTGTTGATAGTGGTGGGAAATAGAATGTGATTTTGCTAAAATATATTTTTTCTAGATTAGCAATAGACTTAGAAAACCAAGATGTTTTGAGTTTTGAATCTGAGCAATCATTATCTCTAGGGGATAAGGAGGTAAAGCTTTGCTGGAAAATAGATGGTGCTGTCCAAGTTAGGTCAAATTTAATGCAGGATATTAAAGAAAGTAAAGCAGTTTTGACGGATGCAGGTGTCGGGAGGAGTAAAACTTTAAAGAAGGCGGTGAATGAAATTAATTCATGCCTGGAACAAGGGGTTCCACGTAGCGCTGATTTAATAAGAAATGATGACTGCCAGTTAACGTGTAATTAATGAAGAGGACATTGTGTGCGTGAAGCCTGAGTCCACTTCAATATAAATTTGATAAGCTGGAATATAATGAGGTTTTAGATGAGAACTAGCCTTCCTTGGTTGATTGGGAGAGAGGAAGTCGATATTTTAGCTCAAAAGTTTGGTCTCGATGAACATGTTTTTGAATATGATGAGGATATTGACAAGGTAAATTGGGAGAGTAATAAAGAAGCAAATTTACAACTTATGGTATTTGCGAGAGAGAAAATGTATGATGGGAATGGTGAGGTTGTTAGTAGTGTGGAGGAGGTTACTGCTGTGGAAAGACTTAGAAGAAAACCTCACGGTAAGAAAGGGAGCAATAAAGGTAAAAACAAATGGGGAACATATACAGGTGATCGTGTCTTGCGGAGTAGCAGATGGTCCAAGCATTTAATTGATGACTTGAATCGAGAGTCAGAGAAGTATATTTTACATCCGATAATAACACGATTGCAGAATGTGATTATGGATTGGATGCCATAGATCAATCAAATTCTGCTCACAATGAAGTGGAACAAGTATGGAATATTTGGAAATGGGGGTAGATAAGGAGTTCATTAAAACCGTAACCTGCTTGGAGCAAAAGGAAAAAGAGAAGGAAGAACAAGAGAGCTGTCAGGAGGGCGTGAAATAAGGAAATGGAAAAGAACTTATTTATGATGGAGTCCTGATTGTTTAAAGAATTTTAATTGGATAAAAGTCTAAAGATAATAAGTCACGAGTTCAATGATAATTATAGTGGGGTAATACTTGCGGTTCATAAAGAGGAGGAAGGTTTAGATACACAGTTGAAAATTGACCCATGGATCGGTGTTTGATTAAGGACTGATGGAGTTGAATTTTATATCCAATTGTAGAGCTCTTGAGTGGTGGGATTAAATTGGATTAAAGTTTAAAAAAGAGTCCTAATGAGATGACGAGATTTGCTTTCCCTGGATTGCTACTAGAGTCTTAGTATCGTGCAGTTTAAATCTTGGTGGAGTCCATGCAAGTGATGGAGGTTTGGTGCATTGTGTAGATTCCAGATTAAATTGGGATACTGGCTTGGTCAGGTTAAATTAATTCGGATTGTGCCTTTGAGTAGCAAAGCTTCTAAAGAGCTAGTTGCGGATTGAGTTGGAGTTGGAATTGGATTTGGAGCTATATGTTGGTTTCAAATTTAAGCTCCTAGAGTTTGAGATTCGACTGAACTGATAGGATTTAAATCTTTTATATGTGCTGATTGGGAGTCCTAAAACTCACGGTGACATGATAACTGGATTGTTTTCAGCAATGTAGGGGTCCCATTGAGTGATTAATGCTTTGAAACTGTTGTCTGGTTTCAGATTTGGCTTTAGTGCTAGAGTTTGCTGTCCTGATTCGGGCATTAAGTGAAGTAGTCTGGTGCTTCAGACATGTAAGCTCTGCAGAATTTATGGTTCGGACATCCATGAATGTTGTTCGATTTGACGGTTTGGTCTTTTAGTTTGGTTTTAGTTCGGACAGCTTTTTTCCTTTCCAAGGGGTAATGTGAGTTTAGGACATAATTGAATCCCGGACATCCCTAAATCCAGGGTTTAGGAGTTTGGGGTTTTTGTTTTTTCTTGTCATTTTATTTTTATTGTAACTCAAAGCCCATTGCTAATTTTGGTTTTGGCAACTAACAATAAAAATTATATAATTTTCAAAAAAAAAAAAGTATTAAAGGACATAAGATCCTTTCCTTTTTGACAACATTATTTTATCCCTCTATGATTGTTACCTTATTAGTAAACGGTTACTCTCTTAATGCCCACTTTCCACTACCTCAATATCCTTTTGACTGCTTGAGATGTTAATATCCACTTTCCACCCCTTAAGGATAAGCAATCGAGTAAGGCGGTTGAATTAATATTTTTAGTTGACTAATTAATCTCTTCATACATTTTAACCGAATGAATCAACTTCCCTAAATTAAAATAATTAATTTGATTTTGATTTAATTGAAATTCTTTTAAACCATGGGCTTGAATGCACTTAAGCCCATTTTTTTATTTTCGTTTTAATTTTTTATACTAATTACATAGTTTCGGGATGTTTAATTAATTAATTATAATAGTATAATCACCTTTCAATTTTGGCAAAGAGTTAAGAATGTCTTTAATTAATTAATTCCGTAGATGGTGAGTGATACACTTTCATTATATATTATAAAATTATAACATTACATATGTTATAATATATTAATATTCTTTGATTGTAATATTTTATATGCTATAATATGTTAATAAGTTATACATTTATTTTTTATATTTAATGGCTTATCCATGTAATGATACAGATTCATTGATCACCATTTAATTATTTAATTATCTATATTGATTTAATATTTTAATATTGACTTTTTTATTTATAATCACTAATTCAATATGATAAATTAAAATTTTTTTTTTGAAGTTTTTAAAATTTTGAGCTAATGTATAAGATAAAGATGCAATTTTATATACATACTTAAGCATATTAAGTTGCGGTCCTTTGGCTTCAAATTAAAGATCAAATCTCTTATTTGAAGTTCTTGATTTTTTTAAATTATTATAAGAATTAATAGAAGTTTGTATTACTATCTTTTTCATCAAAGTTATAATTTTCATTATCTAAATTAAACAACAAATTAACACTGTTTTGAGTTTAGGCTATTCTGTGCCTTTAATTTCTTTATTACTTTTTCATTCCTCACTTATCAATTTCAAAATTTTCAAAAGAAACAGTGGTAGTAGATTATTATTATTATTATTTTATTGTTGTTGTTGTTGTAAAGAATAGTGTAAGTAGATTATTATTATCATTATGACTTTTCGAGCTTGACTCATTATTTCCACAAACACTTTAATTACAAGATCGTCTATAAGTACAAATTTGATTTTGGTTTTTCATTTAATTTAATTTAATTTAAGATTTACAAATTCATTACTCTGAAACTTAATGAGTGTGAGAAAATTACAAACAAAAGAGATTTTTGGATTGCCTAAACTTGTGAGCATGGCGCATAAGAGGGCAGTGGTGTGTGGGCGTATTTCATGGGTGACTTCAGTACATGTTTACACCGTCCTAATATTCTTTGTTTTGCCTTATGCCAACTGGTGGCTGCTGAATTTGTTTTGGGAGATGTTAATTCTTGTAGATCTGGGTATGCCTAAACCCGGGAACTAGTTTTTCTAGGGTTACTTTATTTCCACTATGTAATAATAAAGTTCATAGTATTTTAAACTATGGCAATTGTAATAAAATTTGCATTACTTTTTTTTTTAAATAAGTGTCAGAAAATTTTTGAAAAATGAACATTATTGTGGACAAAATCTTTTCTTTTATAGCTAGGAAGTCAATTAGACTTCATTATGTAAAGGATTTTTTTTTTTGAAAAATTATAAGGATTTATTTATATGTCAGGGAAAACCGTTCAAGCTTTTTCTCAGATAAATTTGCTCATGTATATTATTAAAGGACCATTTAATTTTTTAAAACCAACTTGGTGTGGTTAATAAATTTGTATACACTATTATATTACCATATAATACATAAATAATTGCAAACTTAAGCAAAGTGAGTTAATAATATTTTTTTTATATATGCTAATAAAAAATTCTAGACACCATGTCTTTGTTAGGTGCATGGTAGTGTTGCCAGGGTCTACAATCTCTCTCCTTCAGTCTAAAATACAGAAGAGGGGTTGCATGCTCACCAAAGTTGTATAATTATAGGGTCAGGGAAAAACATGTACATGGATCCTGCTAGCCTTGTGTCTTTTCCAAAGAAATGCTTTCGAGTAATAGCATGACGAATACAAAGTGACATTCAAGTATACTCCCTACTTTAGTTTTTGTCCATTTTATTTTACTAATTGTTTAACATAAGTTTTAGTTTAGAGTCTAGACTGCCGACAAGACTACCATAGTACAACAACTAGAAGGATTTACTTGAAGGAAACTCAAATGGATCAGCCAGCATTTTCTCTCCAAGGAAACTTAAAACAATGAGCAGGATTTGCAAAATAAAAGTAATAAGGATTGTACCATGAAGAGATCTAACTCTGATTCGTTTACGATGCTAGAACAAGGGTTGTAATCAGCTTTCCTTTGATTTGCCTTACTATTTCTGCCACTATCAGCAATGGCACCAACCTGAAGAAAGTTAGACATCGTTTCAGTGACACTGCACTATATATTCTATGATATTGAGAATCAATTCCACACAGAATGAGAAGACTTAGCCTAAACTAATTAAAAGTTAGTAGCTAGCTAGGTTAATCGTTTAGAACAACCCTAGCTATAAAAGTGAAGGCCATGTGGCTGGATCTATCAATTACAGATGGGGAGATTTGGAGCAGTTCATCCCTTGGAACCGCGTACTATATTAGAAACCAAGGAAGAAAAAATGTTTACCCCTCAATCCGTGATGCCCACTAACAGATCAACGTAGCTGTATTCTGATCCTGGTCACATTCCTTTTTAATTTACCCTCCACTAAGACATTGTCCATGGAGAAATTTAACCGTATTAAAATTTCCAGTTTCTAATGTTGATAAACAACGTCAACAGCATGTAGCAAACAAAGAAATCCTAGAGTGTGCTAAAGTTTAAACAAAACGAAAGTAATATCTCTCTTGAAGCAATTCAGAAAAGGATCTATGTATAACTTATATGGAAAAAAAAAAAAAAAGGGACTAATCAACAAGAATATTGTAAGATGGCTTGTAATTTGTTGATTTAAAGCCATTACTTGCTGCTCAATGCTTACACAGAGAGAAACATATATAGAAGGGAAGAGGAGAACCTTTAAGCAGTTGAGGTGATTCTCAACGAGCCTCCCATACAAAGGGTGAGAAGAAATTCTGGTCTTGAGAAGCTCTTCTTCTTCTTCTCCTTCTTCTTCCTCCTTCTCTCCAGAAGAAGTGTTCCTCTTGGTCTCCATACCTAATTACTTGTTATTCCTGAGCTGCCACAACGGCTCCTAATTAGTTTCGCCATATTTGTATTTGTAAAGAGCTATAATTAGAGCACAGCCGTGGCCCGTGTACTATCTGGTAACAAGGTTTCAGCACAGATACTCCCATTTTTGGATTGACCCATGCATGCATATGTTGAAGGGTATCAGTCAGAGGACACTCATTGAAGTGGTTCCCCTTTCCTGCACTATCTCTTTCTGTCTTTTTACATGAACGAAAGGAACATCTCGAAGGGCTTCTCGAATATTGGGAAGCCCTGATAGTACACTTACTTCTTATTTAGCCAGCGCTTTGCCCGTCTTTATTTGACCTTTGTACTGCTCATTCTCCCACTTTTTGGAGCAGAAAATCCAAATTCGTTACTGTTTGTGAGGGGACTCTTTCATCACTTTGGTTTGTTCGCACTCCCTGAAGGACCTTGTTCATTCACTGTTCATTGGTTGCTTCACTTTTAAACATGACAGTTCAACATGCAGTATAATTTCCCGATATGCATATAACATATATATATTAAATTAGAATGTTTTTGATACAGACAATTGAAAGCAGACGAGACGAGCTCAGCAAACTACTGTTGAGCCTACCCTCTCTAATTATTTTAATTATTTGATCGTTTTTTGGCAAAATTGCATAATGGGCCTCTTTCCTTCAAAGTGTCGCATATCTGGAATACCTTTTTAATCCTCTCCACATGCATGAGATCCAGGATCAATACCTTTGCCACTCTGGCCCTGCCCTGGGCCTTCATGTCATAACCCTTTTTCATCGTTTTTCATCAAGCAATACACATTAATCAAACCGACGGCTCCTCATCCCCTTCCCTACCATGTGTTTTGAATTCAAAAGTTGTCCATGCATATGTAGAGAGATTTGGATTCTCTTCAATGTACCAAAGATTCATTTTTCTCAATTTGACCTTTCTTACATCACATATATCCAAAAAATCCTTCCTATCACATCAATTATAGACCTTACCCCAACTAATTTTACTATCATTAAAAATTTGCTATACCAATGGATGAAGTTGTTATTATTATTATTATTAACTTGTGCACCAATGTATACTAATGCCACAAATTTAACTGACTTTGTATGCTTTGATTGGTTGAGCTTATATAGCTAGAGGCGTTCCTGGAACAAGCTACCTAATTAGGTTTGTCAGTCCGACTTGACTAGCTGAGGCCAACCTCAAGCATGCGTTTCAGGTTCAACTCGACATATTCTGGTATTAGTAATTAATTAATATTTATTTAATTTAATTTTAAAATATATTTAACAATATTAATATAGAATATTTTTATATTCTAATAATAAATATAATTTAAAATATGGACTAAGTTGGGTCGACGTCTAACTTAGGTTTTAGAAGTATCGACTAGATGACCCAATTTATAAACACCTTAACTTAAAACTTAGGTAGTGCGAAGAATCTTTATTCATTTTTTAATCTTTGTTTAGTTGATATGATTAAGATAGCCCGACATTTTACACTAAACCAAACGGTAGAAAATTACTTGAATATTAAAAGGTTTTTACAGAAAAAATACTTGTGTGCATGCGTGACCAAGGCTATGCTGATCATATTTCTAAAGCATTATTCCTACATTATTCTTTTATCCTTTTTAATACTATTAAACCAAACACAAATCTTATTGAAACTAAATTTTAAAGCAATTAAGAACAATTAATACAAAAAGATGGATGAAATGAATTGGTAAACCTTTTAGGAAAAATAAACTCAAGTGAGGCTAAAATCCAAATTATCCTTCAAAACACTTCAAAAGGATACTTTCACTACAACATTTTTGACCTTTGGCTGCAAAAAAAAAATTACAGTCTTGGGTGAAAAATATGCAACATTAGGTTAAGGTTGCACTTTTTCTAAGTGCAGCCTCAGCCAATGTATGGAAAAGTATGGCTGCACTTGTTTATGGGATTCAACAACAAAATTAAAGTGCAGCTGTATGCTATACGACTGCAATCTTAAATCATATGATAACATATAAAATGTGCAGCTAAAAGGTATAAAATAGTGACACATATAACCTTTTAATATGTGATAGAAACACATGCTCACAAATCAAAAAGTGCCTCTAAAATTAAATTGTAGAACTAATGACTAAAAAATCAAATCCCTTAAAAACCATTTTCAAAAGTCTTTACAATGTGTACAGTATGGGGTTTCCTCAACTAATTTTAGTAATCTCTCTCTTTCTCTCTTCTTCTCTCTAATTCCTCTTTATACATATTTGTTTGTCCATTCTCCAACCCAACAAAACCAATTGACATTGCAGTACCCAACCTTCTTTACCTGCAAAGATTAAGTTGCAAGATAATATTCATTTGCAAGTAGTTCATAATGTAATATGAGACAAAGCAAGATAATATCCAATTAACTGTAAATAATAGGTAATATTAACAACATTTTGAACTAGATTTATGTACAAAAGGTGTCTTTATGTTTTAACATCAATGATAAGGCCTCTTATGAATCATATATAGCTTGAATGCATGCTATCTCAATGATTTTAGAGTAACTATACTAGATATCCTATAAATCCAGCCCCCAGCAAGAAACCTTTTAAGAGTAAACAGCCAAGCAAGGGCCCTACCAATGGCTTGTGCTTGGAGATTACTGGAGGGTGCAGCACGACAGCAATGAACCGAAATATTTTATGATGGAAAAACAGATAGAAGCAACTTGAAGGGAAGTTTAGCAAGGACACTTGAGAAAACAACTAAAAAAGGGGTCTGTATGCAGCAGATAACGATGAGTATTCTCTAGATTACTATTTAGATCAATATCTTGCTTACTGCCATGTTTGTTTCAATCGTCTATAAATCTCTCATTGATAAATCAAAACCACATTTTGTTCTTTTTTTTTGTTAAAATCCAAAACTTCATTCATGTATAAATTATGCAACACTTTAAGAAACTTTAATTAAATAATAATTCAAAAAGCAACACAACAATCTAAATATGTCCAGCCATGAATAATAAAATAATCAGGACACAAATACCATTAATCTAGTTGATACCATGCCACAATAATCATACTGAACAAACAATGAAGCTATTACTAGTCACTTTCATCAAATTCCAATGATAATGCCATAACAAAATTATCTTCAAAGCAATTACATAAATTAACATAAAATGACGTACAAGATTCATCAATACCAGCATTTGGAATCAATTCTTCCAAGAATCTTGTTCGGCTCATTTGTTCAAAGTTGTGCCTTTATTCTTCAAAGAGAAGTTGAGGA